ATTATTACCGGGATTGGTGTACCATGGCTTCTGATCTTTGGTGGCCATGAATCTCATAATACGTTTGAATTTATTCAATTCTGCCTTGATCACAACATTTACCTCCTTTGCTTGCCTTCTCATTCAACTCACCTATTACAGCCATTAGACGTAGGATTATTCAGTCCCTATCTGCACTACTATGGCCTTGCAGTAGATAAATATATTCAGTCTGGTAAAGATAGAGAAGGAATTAAAAAAGTAGCCTTTATTCCGTTCCTTACTGAAGCACGGCAAAACACAATGAAAAAAACCTCTATTCTGCAGGCCTTCATTACTACTGGAATCTGGCCCCTCAATCCTCGTCATGTGTTGGGAAAGTTACAACCAGTCATCATAAAACAGCGTGATACTCTTGTCATACTGAGTGCTCTCCACACTGCTTGGGCTATTCAGAATCGTGTGAGATCAGGAGTGAATGTACTTAACCCAATGGCCTCACTAACTCTCACTCCAGCGGGGGGGAAGCTCGCCCGTGATAGAATTATAGGTATTCTACAAGAGTTGGGTCATCAATTTGAGGCTGAGATCATGAAAAATAAACTTTAAATCAAGTCAAATCACAAACTCCAAGGAATACAAAAGATTTTCAATACTACCGACAAGAGACAGCTGTCAGTAGCCAGAGTCCTTGATGGAACTGAGCTTATTAGACTCCGAGATGCCCGGTTAGTAAAGGATGCAAAAAAGCCCCCTCAACCACTCCTATCTGTTTCAAAATCAAAGCACGTTTTTATGAAGAAACAAGTCACCAAAAGTCAGAAAAAACCCCTCCATACTCTTCCCGGTAATCAGACTCCACCTCAGATACAGGAAGTCATGATCTGCGATACCCCAATGGTTGTTTTTCTCGACCCAAGTTAAGAGGATAGTGAGGAGTGGAATTCATCACTTTCAACCTCTGGCCGGCACTCTAAATCAACCCAACCAGGGGCAAAAAACTCCACACTTCTTCCTGATCGCCCTTTGCATATGTCCCTCTGCTCCTGCCAACAATAGTCTCTTTTTCTCTTTGTACTTTTTCTATTTAGCTCTTCAGTCTCCCATGTCCTGATATAATTTTCATTCTTTATTACTATTTTTCTTGGTACCAGCCCTGCTATTTCTTTCTGCCCTTGGGTTTCTCCTCATCGCTCTGGCATCACTATTTCTTTCTGATCATGAATTGGATTGTTTTTGGACCAGTTATCACAATTTCAATCTTTCTCTTTGGCCGGAAGTCCAGGTGAGACCTGTATGTCATATCCCGGTCTTGTGTCACATCACGGTGAAATACACTAGGTTTAGAAATGCATGCATGGGTGAAAGATGGGGTCCATTGGGACCGCACGAGAAAATTATTTAACGAGCGAAGATCATACGTCACAGAGTCAAAGTTCTAGACACCAAAGGCTTAGATTCCATGGATCCAAAGGTGGATTCTATTTGCATGCCAGCTCATCCCTCCTATGCATTCTTGAGAGTGCATCGCAGGCCGCAGAATGCAGTTAGGGAAGTTACCCGGCTTCACCGTTGCGCTTGTATTATGATATCAAAGGTTAGCCCCACAGCACGAAATAATCCGCTCACAAGACACCTTCTTGAACAAACAAAAGGACAGCTGGGCTTCCGACTGGCTTCAAACACCCCCCTACTCGAGCGCACACAAGACTTCAATCTCTAAACGCGGTGAATCACAACATTAACGCCACCATCGCGTGAAACTAGAAACAGGATACCCCTTCATCACGGATATCTCTAAATCATGCAAGGAATCCAGGGCCGTCGTCCGGCAATCCGGTCTCCTCACCGTGCTCCTCACCATGGACGATCCCCCTCATCCTCCTCCTCGACCTCTTCGACATCTTCCCAGTGGAGGCTTAGTATGGCTCGGAAACTGTCACCTTCGGAAATGA